TTGCTTCTCTGGCCCGTGGACTCCTTCCCATCCTTCAGTGGTGGGATGTCCCCAACTGAGGTGGTTGAGGCCCCATCCCTGGAGATATTCAAGGAGAGGCTCGATGAGGCCCTGGGCAACCTGGTCTAGTTGGGGGTGTCCCTGCTGACTGCGGGGGGGTCGGACTAGATGACCTTTGGAGGTCCCTTCCAGCCTGGGCAATTATATGATTCTATGATTCTAACCTTTGGGGCCAGAGGGAGGCCCTGTGCCTCCAAGGATGTACCCCGCTGTCTCTGCTGGTTGTGCAGCCCTACCTTGTCTCCCCCACCAAGTCCTTCCCCTGCTACAGCAGGCCTGCAGAAGTAGCAGGGGGTGTGTTCTACCAGCTGTATGTATAACTGGCTTTTTTTAATTTTCTTTTCCTTTTTGTAGGTGGAAATGGCAATTTCTCCCAAAAATGGCAGCGTGAGCAAGTGCCTGGGTTTAATAAACGCTTTCCAGGTGAAAATAACAAGCCAAAGGTATGGATTGGGGCTCTCAGCACAAGAAAGATATAGACCTGTTGGAGCAGGTGCAGAGGGAGGAGGGCTACAAAAATGGTCAGAGGGCTGGAGCACCTCTCCTATGAGGGCGGGCTGAGAGAATTTAGGTTCTTCAGCCTGAAGAAGAGAAGGCTCCAGGGATACCATATTGTGACCTATCAGTCCTTAAAGGGGGCTTAGAAGAAAGACAGGGACAGACTTTTTAGTAGGGACTGCAGTGATAGGACGAAGGGTAACAGTTTTAAACAAAAAGAAGGTAGCTTTAGATTGGAAATAAAGAAGAAGCCTTTTAGAATGGTGAGTGATCGCAATTACAGTGATGAGACACTGGTACAGGTTGTCCAGAGAGGTTGTGGATACCCCATCAAGGTCAGGTTGGATGGGGCTTTGAACAACCTGATCTGGTGAAAGATGTTCCTGCCCATGGCAAGGGTCTTGGACTGGATGATCTTTGAAGGTCCTTTCCAACCATTCTGTCATTCTGTGATGGTGGCAGTCGTGGAGAGACCTACAGAGACCCAATACTCTTGTCTAACTTGCCTACCCTTACAAGCGAGCAAACATATGACAATTAGTCTGCAAATCTTGGGCCTGTTGAAGGAAAGATACATTTTAACCAAATTCTAACATGGGTTTACTTTAGAAAAGCTGTTATTGTGATGATTCCTGAGTACCTAAATTACATTAAAGTTCTGTTGTATTATTAGGGCCGGACAGCCAGATCACCCTGATGCGTGTAGTGGGAGAAGGAAGGATCTCTGCTGCTCTCTGAGCTCTCACATGTCATGCATGGTCTGACTTGAGAGGGAGGAGACTCAGGGCTGTAGCCTAGCTCTCCTCCCAGCCCTGGTTAAATCTGTGCCAGCCTGGTATGTCTGCAGAAGCGATAATTGATAAAAAGGTGGTAGTGGAAAGAACTGAGTGCAGGGTGCTTCACAGGATCAGTGATTTGAACTTCATTTTCATGTTATGTTAGCTTATCTCTGAAACTTTCGAAATGTGTTTTAATTGATGGGTTTATTATAAAACTCATTAAAGCATTTCACACCTAATTAAAAATAGGAATACCCCGTAATCTTGTAACTGCAATTCTGAGATGATTTCTTCTTTTTTTTTTTACTTTTTTTTTCCGCAGGCCAGAAAGAAAAAAGAGCCAGTTTTCTCTCATTATTGTGATACCTGTGACCGTGGCTATAAAAACCAGGAGACGTATGATGAACATATCTCACAACATAAAAAGGTTGATGAGTTTGGCTTGTTTTATCTACTCTTTCATTTTCGACTTCGTGCCTGTTAAGTAGTTAGCTGTAGTCATTCATTCAATGGAAGACTTAAAAGAGATTCACAAAAAGTGTTAGTAGGGGATTTTTTCTGAATGCTGTGTGTAGGGGAGTTCTCAGTTGTATTTTTGGTTTTATTGTCAATTTAATGTTATTCTTTTGAAGTATTGCTAAGTCACCCCAGTGGAAGGAATTCATTCGTGGGCATCAGCGTAGAATGTAAAATTATTGTGTGAAAAGACTATGTGGTTGCTTCTCTGGCCCGTGGACTCCTTCCCATCCTTCAGTGGTGGGATGTCCCCAACTGAGGTGGTTGAGGCCCCATCCCTGGAGATATTCAAGGAGAGGCTCGATGAGGCCCTGGGCAACCTGGTCTAGTTGGGGGTGTCCCTGCTGACTGCGGGGGGGTCGGACTAGATGACCTTTGGAGGTCCCTTCCAGCCTGGGCAATTATATGATTCTATGATTCTAACCTTTGGGGCCAGAGGGAGGCCCTGTGCCTCCAAGGATGTACCCCGCTGTCTCTGCTGGTTGTGCAGCCCTACCTTGTCTCCCCCACCAAGTCCTTCCCCTGCTACAGCAGGCCTGCAGAAGTAGCAGGGGGTGTGTTCTACCAGCTGTATGTATAACTGGCTTTTTTTAATTTTCTTTTCCTTTTTGTAGGTGGAAATGGCAATTTCTCCCAAAAATGGCAGCGTGAGCAAGTGCCTGGGTTTAATAAACGCTTTCCAGGTGAAAATAACAAGCCAAAGGTATGGATTGGGGCTCTCAGCACAAGAAAGATATAGACCTGTTGGAGCAGGTGCAGAGGGAGGAGGGCTACAAAAATGGTCAGAGGGCTGGAGCACCTCTCCTATGAGGGCGGGCTGAGAGAATTTAGGTTCTTCAGCCTGAAGAAGAGAAGGCTCCAGGGATACCATATTGTGACCTATCAGTCCTTAAAGGGGGCTTAGAAGAAAGACAGGGACAGACTTTTTAGTAGGGACTGCAGTGATAGGACGAAGGGTAACAGTTTTAAACAAAAAGAAGGTAGCTTTAGATTGGAAATAAAGAAGAAGCCTTTTAGAATGGTGAGTGATCGCAATTACAGTGATGAGACACTGGTACAGGTTGTCCAGAGAGGTTGTGGATACCCCATTTAGTAGGGACTGCAGTGATAGGACGAAGGGTAACAGTTTTAAACAAAAAGAAGGTAGCTTTAGATTGGAAATAAAGAAGAAGCCTTTTAGAATGGTGAGTGATCGCAATTACAGTGATGAGACACTGGTACAGGTTGTCCAGAGAGGTTGTGGATACCCCATCAAGGTCAGGTTGGATGGGGCTTTGAACAACCTGATCTGGTGAAAGATGTTCCTGCCCATGGCAAGGGTCTTGGACTGGATGATCTTTGAAGGTCCTTTCCAACCATTCTGTCATTCTGTGATGGTGGCAGTCGTGGAGAGACCTACAGAGACCCAATACTCTTGTCTAACTTGCCTACCCTTACAAGCGAGCAAACATATGACAATTAGTCTGCAAATCTTGGGCCTGTTGAAGGAAAGATACATTTTAACCAAATTCTAACATGGGTTTACTTTAGAAAAGCTGTTATTGTGATGATTCCTGAGTACCTAAATTACATTAAAGTTCTGTTGTATTATTAGGGCCGGACAGCCAGATCACCCTGATGCGTGTAGTGGGAGAAGGAAGGATCTCTGCTGCTCTCTGAGCTCTCACATGTCATGCATGGTCTGACTTGAGAGGGAGGAGACTCAGGGCTGTAGCCTAGCTCTCCTCCCAGCCCTGGTTAAATCTGTGCCAGCCTGGTATGTCTGCAGAAGCGATAATTGATAAAAAGGTGGTAGTGGAAAGAACTGAGTGCAGGGTGCTTCACAGGATCAGTGATTTGAACTTCATTTTCATGTTATGTTAGCTTATCTCTGAAACTTTCGAAATGTGTTTTAATTGATGGGTTTATTATAAAACTCATTAAA